TCTTCTCAGAGATTCGAGTATGTCTTTAGTACTTTACTGTCTTTGTAAGACTATGAGCTTAGTAATGAAATATTCTTCTTTACTTATTTGTGTTTGTAATTCATATATTGTTTTGTCAAATACTGAGTAATTTATACCTCTGTCATATACTCTACTCCCTCCATCCCAAAATATAAGGGATTTTGGAGGGATGTGACAGCCTGTCCAGATTCGTAGCACTACGATGTGTCACATCCCTCCAAAATCCTTTGTATCATAGGTCGGAGGGAGTATATGTTTAGGCTAGTCGATCTATGCCACAGTATAGGGCCAATGATCTTAACGGGTTACACTAATTCTAACTTATCCATCCAAAAGGTGGGAGTCCTGGAGGAATTAGTTGTATTATTTAACAATGTAAGCATGGTGCTTAGATTGATTAACTGTTGTTGGATGTGGGTGTGCCCCACAGAATGCAGAGGTAGGCGGTAGGTGGTGATAACCTTGTCCGTCCTTTGTAATCCTCCACATTCAGGTATAACGTAAGAGTTCATAAAATGTCACAACCACGCTGACAGACCAGCAGAGAGAGGTCTCTCGGTAGTGCCTAGAACTAAGTCCTAAACATGTATATCGACTAAGCATGATAAATATAAGAGTACATATGAAACAATAGTTTTCTTTTGTCTTCATCCACTAGCTAGTTTATTTATTAAAATGATTATTTTGTGTGTCACACTACCAATTATAATTATTGTCCTTTACCCCTGTTAGACTGTGGTATATTAATTATAGCATGATTATGAATATACTAACTATTCTTTGCATCGCTGCCTTCTTGCGGAAAAATAAATAGAGAAAATAACAATACTTATAGAATAATCCCGGGTGAAGTCCTACAGTGGTATCCATACGCTTATGGATTTATCTATGATAATATCAAATACCAACAGCAAACGGTCACGCAGAACGCTTTCCAAAAACTTTATTAGCGCCTTCACTAGGTGCAGGATGCTCTCCCAATTGCCGGTGCACACCGACGAGCAGGACGGAGTAGACTACGAGTTTTTCGCATGTATTGTGAGGACATGTGATCAAGACATCTGCACAATCTTCATAACGTGTAACTGAATCAAATAAGTCACACATAACCTATATGGACTCCACACACTGGATTTTTCGTTGTATTTCCAAAAACTAGTATTTCAAAAACAAACACCGAATTTTGCAGTTGCAAAAGAAAGCCACCACATTAGTACAGACATGAAGAGCCCATTTTGGTGGACATTCATATGCATGTTGCATAGACGCATGATCTATGCTCGGCTTGACGAGCGCGTGCGTGCTCCTCTAGATCTCTCCATCACACATGCTTCAAGTAGGTAGGATAGCACTCTTCCTTTTAATGGGGTCTCTCTTCTACAATAGGTAAGGTAGTACTAAAGGTTAAGATGCAACCACTTCTCTCATGAGGTGGGTCTTTATAATTTTCCTAGAAATTATTCTCCACTAGCCGTCAACCCGTGCATTGCACGGCTATGGTATTATAAGTAATAAAAATCAAACATATAGCTTTTTGTGGAAATTTACTTCTATATATGTTTTTAAGTTCTAAAAATACAGTTCATTTTATTTATAGCTAAAAAATTCAAATGGATTGCTAAAGAATTCATAAATGAAAAATACAAATAACCTAATCTTACAGACCAATTTGTACTTCTGTTGAAGTTTCAACTTGTTGTTTACAATAATTTAATTTACAGCTTAGTATTTAATATTACTATTAATTTTGGTTTGGACTTTCGACTATAGCTTTTCAATATTTAATATTTGTTAAATTGGTGGATAATAAGTATTGAGCTGTCCTAGACTGGTGTCTTAATATTTTTCATGATTTAATAATTCCGAAATTCATAGCTAACAGATGTTGAGTTGGAGTTTCACATATAGAATTTTCTCTGATTTAATCATTATAAAATTTTGAATTAAACATTACCAATTAGTTTACGTTTGGGGTTTCAAGTTTGTGTTTTCTTAATTTAATATAAATTTCAGACAGAAATTAATAACTACTGAGTTGCCCTTAGCTTGTAGTCTTGATTATAGATTTACCATATTTAAAAACATCAAGTTTTACCTGGTTTGGGGTCTCAATTATAACATTTCACAATTTAATAAGTTGCATTAATAAATACTAAGTAAATTATTAAAATTTTTTGATAATTCCAAGTTTGGAATTAAACACTTTTTGGCCAGGCCTAAGGATCAAAATCCGACTGCATGGATGGCAACAAAAAGATGCAATCTATATACAGTTAAGACGTGTATGGAAAACTAACTAGAGAGAATCCATTATATACCACCGAGTTTGTTAGAGTTCAACGATATGCCATCGACATTGTTTCTTTCTATAATATACCGACGACGTTATCAATTGTTCTATAATACGCCATTGGGCTGGGTCTTATTTTCAAAAATACCCAAAATACCCTTACAAACATAAAATTAACAATTGATTAAACTCATTACAAGTCTCACAAAAATATGAAATTTTTTATGTGGCCCCCGTACACAACATAGAAGTTTGTATACAAGTTTCAAGTTTTTCTGGTATATTTAATTTTTAGAAAAAAAATATTTTGTGTCGTATATGAGAGAAAATATGCTTATATAAGAGATAATAGCACAAAAATATCTTATATAGTTTATGAAAGATGATTTATATTAAAAACAACAATAAAAAAGTATTTTATATGGCATATAACAAATAAGTTATATTTTTTATAAAAAAATAGAAATGTAAAAAACTTGAAACTTCTTTACGAATTTCCATGTTGCATAAGGAGGCCACATAAAAGTTTTCATATTTTTCTGAAACTTCTAATGAGGTAAATGAATTGTTAACCTTGTATGTCTATAAGGGCATTTTGGGTATTTTTTTAAAAAAGGCTCAGCCCAATGGTGTATCGTACACAATTGATAAAGTCACCGGTATATTATAGAAAGAGACAATGTTGATGGCAAATCATTGAACTCGAACAAACTCAGTGGTATAGAATGGATTCTCTCAACTAATTATTAGTTGCTGGTATATGGATTCAGAAAAATGCAGATCAATTTGTGTTCCTGCGTCAAAATTATTATTACAAAGCTCATTCGTTTTTAACAATGGGATCTTTTTACGTGGATCAACCTGACTACCTAACTTTCGCTGATAAAACAGTTGTTGACAGAATTACCTGAACACTTATTGATAAAACAGGTCGTTCAATAGGCAAAATATTGCAACTTGTATTCAAAAATTAATCGTGAATGATTTAAATAGGTCATATAGAAATATTGCAAGTTTGAAGGAATACCTGTGTAAATTGCAGATGTGGCAACAGATGAATCTTATTAGGTGCAAGAGAACTTAATTTTAGATTTGAGGATCAACATCTCTAACAGCTGAAATATAGATCAATATATATATATATGCCCTGTATTCAAAATTATTAAACAATAGCTAACTATTGGTTTATTTATTTATTTTTGGAACCGACCTACTTGATTTGCTGAACACTTACAAATACAACATCTCATGGAAGATTATCAACATAACTCACTATTTCAATCAAAATCAGAGCTCGTAAGAAGCCAATAATGTATTTATAAATAGGTCAGACTGATTATGAATACACAGATTTGGCACAATATATACATCAAAATCAGAAATCGATAATTCCTCATAGGTTAAATAGAACATTATTGTTCAGAGAAATACCTATGACAATTCCAAAGCTTGATTGCAGAGAAAGCGTTTTGTTCTGTTGTGCTATAGATTATGCCGCCTGAGATGTGCGTAAACAATCCATTAATGACTAATAATAGGATCAGGTAACAGACGTCATTAATTACATATGTACTGTACATGAGTACATCTCCTTGCGTTCTGCACATCATATACACTGCAAGCATCAGATGATGGCATAGTGAATTCTAATGAGTACCTGAACAACACAAGTCGGCGGAATAGAGATAGTCGCTAGCCGATTGAGTCGAAATAGCCGCCAGTCTATGATCGATTCAATTGGGATAAAGGGGAGAAGCTTCTTTTGCCGCAAGCAAAGTTGTGCCGAGTTCCCGACTCTCTCGTCCATCTGCCCTTTACGGAGATAGATCGGTGATTTCCTATTTTACTTGATGATGTGTATCCGCTCACGTAACAAATCTGCTCGGTTACAATGTGGGTTTTTAAAGTGGCCCACAATGCAGATTACATTTTTTAATCTACGGTTGTGATAATTTGATCCAACTGATGAATAATGTTTACATTTTTCTGGTTAACGTACGTGAGAGCTTCTTCAAAGTGCCTGATTAGTATAGGTATAGATAGATATGGGCCTTATCCCACGTGTAAATTCCAACACAAAATTCACCTGATAAAAATTAAGTGCCCAAAATACAAGGCTGCAGACCAATTCAGATTTATTTTGTCAGTTAGAACAGAATGAATTGAAACATAAGATTATTCTCTATAAAATAGCCAATGACTCATAACAATAACCATTTGGGATTGTTAGGTAGTAAAGATTTCATGTCCAGCAATAATAATGACATATCCAAACCATTTGCTATAAGGAACCTTTAAATCGAAGGATTCATGTATGAACTTTATATGATTCAAATTCTATAGGAATTTTTCCCTATATAGCCATTTGATTAAAAGAATTATAGTTTTTCAAATCCTATGAAATTCTTATGGAATGGCTTATTACATGTAGATTTTGGAAGAAACCTAGCACGACTTCAAACTCTTGGAAAATTTTCTTCGAGAGTAGCTTTCATCTCCAATTTCTGCCTTTTTTTCCGGTGGTTCAATCAAATGATCGTTGCTGTGTTTTCTTTTTGTTTCGTAATCCTCTATTTTATTCTTATATTTATATCAGAACCTTATGTTTCTTCTATTTCTCCGTTTTTTCAATCCAACGATTTAAAAGGGCCCTAAAAGAATATGACAAAGATGGTTACCAGGATCCATATAAAAGAAATAGACACTTCAACTTTCCCTTTTCGAGGAATGTGCAAAAGCAGCAGATTTTTACACCATCCGCTTGCGAAAACAGCAGATCGATCCAAAAAAAAAAAAAAAAACAGAGACATATATAGCAGCTATTCTCCAAACATATTTTGTGACCGTAACAAGGACCGCCCAGTTACTCCAGAAGTTCTGGACTCCCCTCTTGCGCATACCTTAACTGCTTTCAGCAGCGATTGTTGAGCACTAGCCACACCAATTAAACCTCCAGATCGGCTTGAAACCTGCAAACGGAACGTGACCAATGAAACAGAAGCGCTTGTACCTAGGCTGATTTCGCACTGAACACCTCCGACGGCTCCCGTCCTCAGGTTATAGTATTATTAGGGGTACACTTTCAATTTCATTCACTTTCTAGTCTAAATCACTAAAAAAATCTTTTGGGATAATAGCCAACTTCATCCTTCATGTTCTATCTCGGCGTCACTCTGATCCTTCAAATTTCTTCTGTCTAAACCGGCCCTTGAAAGCTTGCTCTTTGCCTCTTTGGGCCAATGTGGTCCATATATTGGCCTTGGTAAGTGAGCATATGCTTGCCCAGCGAAATTCACCTGACAAAACTGAAGTGCCGGCCATAGGTTTGAGAATATTGTTGAAAGCGATATACTCCCTCCGTTTCGAAATGTTTGACGCCGTTGACTTTTTAGCACATGTTTGACCGTTCGTCTTATTCAAAAAATTTTAAGTAATTATTAATTTTTTTCCTATCATTTGATTCATTGTTGAATATATTTTTATGTAGGCATATAATTTTACATATTTTATAAAAGTTTTTGAATAAGACGAACGGTCAAACATGTGCTAAAAAGTCAACGGTGTCAAATATTTCGAAACGGAGGGAGTAGTTTTTTAACTAGAGTTGTTATTATACAGATGCACTCAGCAATACATGAGTTATCAAATATGCTTGTTCGATAAGACATATAATAAATCATAGCCATTTAATTATTCATGTCTTTTTTGTTTCCTAATTTTGAAACATATTTGCTCCACCCAATTTATAGATAATGGAAGAAAAGGAAAAGATCAATACTCAGAATTGTCCTCCCAAACTTAACCATGCATGCTAGAAATGAAGTTCGAAAATTAAATTTGAGCAATGCCTTACCGTATGTTTAATGGACTTGCATTTTGATTCGGCTAAACTTTTTTTAATGTTTGACTTTACACATATTAAGTATGATTCAAATATGTAGATATCAAAAATATATATATTCTAGATTTAAATTAGAAAAAATACATACTATGTATTTGATATGATATTCAAAATTTGCCTGCAGGATTTGATCATATTTGAAATATGAATCGTATAAACAGGTGGATATGGTAGTTTTACACAAATATGAATTAGCAAGTTATATTTTCGAATTTATATAACACATAGTATGTGTGGTCATTTTGCCAATTACCTACTCTATCAATTTCAGGTTATAAGATGTTTTAACTTTGGTCAAAATCAAACTGCTTCAAGTTTGACGAAGTTTATAGAAAAAAAATAGTAACATTTTCAACCCAAGACAAATTTATTATGAAAATATATTCAATTATTGATTTGATGAAAATAAATTGGTATTATAAATATTACTGTATTTATCTATAAACTTAGTTAAACTTGAAATAGTTTAACTTTGACCAAGTCAAAATGTCTTATAACCTGAAACGGATGGAGTAGGTAATTGACAAAATGACCACACATACTATGTGTTATATAAATTCGAAAATATAACTTGCTAATTCATATTTGTGTAAAACTACCCTATCCACCTATTTATACGATTCATATTTCAAATATGATCAAATCCTGTAGGCAAAATTTTGAATATCATATCAAATACATAGTATGTATTTTTTCTAATTTAAATCTAGAATATATATTTTTTGATATCTACATATTTAAATCATACCTAATATGTGTAAAATCAAACATTAAAAAAAGCTTAGCCGAATCAAAATGCAAAACAATACCTACTTTTACTAGAGCTAGTTAGGATATTTGCAATTCTAGCAATAGTAGTACATTGGAAATACATTCAAGTGGGTGCTGGTCCACCATTTCAAGAGGAGGAGTTATTAGAAATTTAGCCAGACGATGTATTTGATTCGATTCTTAAATAAAAAACCGACAGACCTGTTAATTGGTCGATGCCACCTGTGCTCCAAAGAGCAGCGAGAGATATGACGAGAACTGAATAGCCGTCCTCATCATTGGTTTGCGATGTGCGAAGAATGACCCTGAAGCTTGGACGAACGGATTGGTGCCAAGAGCTGGCTCAAAAGTCTCTAGGTTCTTGTCAAACACCTTGTAAAATGGCAACAACATATTACGGGTGGCATCACCGTCCCACCGCAGACTGTTCCACCATTGTTCTTCTCCACGGATCTGCTTCAACCGAGCAAAGCCACCGTTGTCTGGCTGGAACTGGAACGGGAGCTCCTTCAGCAATGGGCAGCCAAACACATCTATGTATTCCAAACAAGGGCAGACCAGCTTAAATGTGCAGATTGATTCCAAGCTCGGCAGGTGGTTTAACTGTAATATCCTGAGTCTTGACAGGCAATGGACTCTGCTGGCATCTCTTCTCTCTCCATTTTCTGCGTTGGCTAAGACCGAGTTAAGCTTGCTGCAGAATGACAGATCAAGATGCTCCAGCTGCGGAAGTTTGAGCACCCAGGTGATGTCGCCAAGCCCATTGTTCTCAACGATACATAGCATTCGGATGTAGAGGAGCTCCACACCAATCTTCACGGAAGACAACTTGGGCAAGCGCCAGAAGGTGAGGTACTCCAACTGCGGAATGGATTTCTCTGGATCTTGGCCATTGTCAAGTTCGATTGACAATTCTTCTACACCGAGGCACATCCTGAAGTTTACCACCGTGACGGTACTCTGCAGCTTCAGGCTCACAGTGGACTCCCCTTCCAGTTGTTCTACGCCAAGAAGGTGTACGTAGGCATCAGGAAGCAGCGATAGTGTGCGAAGAGCACCAACACTTCTCACAGTAATACCCAGGGATAGCCCTGTGTGAAAGCATCTCAGCTCTCCTAAACTGAATTCATCATTTCTGCCCGTAATGTTTTTGCTCAACTCCAATTCAAAGCCTGAGTACTTACTCTGGTATAAGTACAATATTTTCAGCATGGACAGACTAGATATAACACCACTGGGTATGTTCCTAAGATGGTTAGTGTAGCTGAGGTTCAAGAACCGTAAGTTCTTCAGGTCACCGAAATTTTCCGGCAGACATGCTATGTGTGAATCAGCAAGGTTTAAGCACTGAAGGTTTACTAATGAACAAACTTCTCTGGGCAGCTGTTCAATCTGTGTCCAGCTAAGGTCCAAATACCTGAGAGCAGCCATGCTTGCACAAAGGGATGGTGGGATATCCTTTAAATGGAAATTTTGCTGCAGAACTAACACAGATAGGTCAGAACTGATCGGCTCTGATGGCAGAGAATCTAAGAAGTTGCACATCAGTGATATTCTTGTGGCACCCTTCCATCTCTTGAAATCAACTTCACAGCTTAACACATTTCTTAATCGGTGCCCAGCCTTCAGTAGCCAGCTATCCTTCTTGCCCTTATAGTCCGAGGCAATCCAGAGGGCCATATCACGGATAATATCATGGAGTCGTACCTCTGATTGTTTGATATCACCTTCCTCCAGTAAGCACAATCTTTTCAACTTCTCAATTCGTGATAATCCAATGTTATGGCTATCATTGATTGTTCTACCGACAGGGACGAGACCCAAACCAATCCAACAATTCACAAGATCAACTGTCCAAATTGAATAGCCTTCAGGCCATAGCAAGCAAACCAGAAAACATTCTTTCAGCTGATCATTCTCCAAATTGTCATAGGAAATCCTCAGGGTGCTCAGAATAGGGTTAATGACCTTCATCTCTGAAGCTTCCAAAAGCTGAGTGCTCTCATCAAAAGTTGACAGGGCATTCTCCCACTCGCGCCACGTTCTCTTTGCACGCATGGACCTCCCAACAGTGATTAGTGCCAAAGGCAAACCACGGCATTTTGCACAAACTCTTTTCGCGACATTTTCTATCGGCATATCTGCACATATTGTTTCTTCTGTAGCACTGTATTTGAACAGCTCCCATGCCTCATCAGGCTGCAAACATTCCAGTTTGATTCTTTTATCGGCTTCCATCACACAACAAATTTCCTCAGAGCGAGTAGCAAAGACTACTTTCTGGATCTTCGATTCATTTGGAGGTGGAATGCCAACCTCTAGAAGATCAACGTGCTCCCAAAGGTCATCCAGGAGCAGCAAAAAGTTCTTGTTCTTCAGATGGTTGAAGATGGTTGCGGCACGAGATTCTATGCTATCTCCCTGCTTCGAGAGCAATCCCAGCTTCTCTGCTATGTTCATCTGAAGATTTTCCAGGACGCAACCCCTGGCTGCTGCAACACACATAATATGATCAAAGGGCATATTGTCAACAACACCAAGAAACTGGTTATTGATGACCTTCAAGAAGATTGTCTTTCCTACTCCCCCCATGCCCCATATGCCAATTAACCTGATTTTTGCATCAAGTAGATAGCTCAGAACTTTCATCACATTTAAATGCATTCCAACCAATTTTTCCCTGATAGGCTTCTCCTCAATGGAAGGTAGAGGTCCATCAACAGATACAACTTCAAAAGAACCTCTGTCATACAGGTCAACCAATTCCTCCAGTTTGTCAGAGGCTCTCCTGCTGATGTTGAAATTTGAGATCAGGTGTTTGGATCTTTTGCTATAATCTTGCAGTATTGCATCAACTTCAGTTCGGGCCAGCTCAACTGTTTGAAGCCAATCTAGCACTTCATGCTTACAGGTTTGTTGTTTGCTCCCAGCCATACTGATCATTAGTTTTATGTCATCACTCCTAGCCTCCAACCTTCTATTGAATTCAGTGAGCTTGACAAGAACCTCTTCAGGTTTGAAAGCATACGCAATATTCAGTTGCAAACAGTTGCCGAAGCTGCAAAGCACGGCCGAGAAAATTGATTGCGAATGATGATTGGAAGCCATATCTGTTAAAGAGTAAAAACCTGTGAGCTCATGCTCTAGCAGAAAAGGGGTAAAGGGGAAGATGAAACAATGTGAGGAAGATTACACAAATATAAACTTCAATACCCACTACTCATTTTTCACTCTCAATCTATTATATTATTAAAGGAATAGAAAAAGGAGCCTCCACGTTCGCTCTCATGGCCTAGAAATTCTCACATTAATCAGAAAAAAGAAAAAGCAAAGTCCATATAGAAATATAATTTAGAAATAGCTGAAATTCGGAATTAAAAAATAAGGAATATTAGAAGATAAGACTAGAGTCCATATAGAAATACAATTTAGAAATAGTTGAAATTTGGAATTAAAAAATAAGGAATATTAGAAGAGGAGACTAGAGTCCATATAGAAATACAATTAGGAAATAACTAAAATTCGGAATTAAAAATAAGGAATATTAGAAGAGGAGACTAGAGTCCATATAGAAATACAATCAGGAATACAATTAGGAGATAACTGAAATTCGGAATTGAAAATAAGGAATATTAGAAGTAGAGGATAGAGTCCATATAGAAATACAATTAGGAAATAACTGAAATTCAGAATTAAAAATAAGAAATATTAGAAGTAGAGTATAGAGTCTATATAGAAATACAATTAAGAAAAAAATAGAAATTCGGAATTAAAAATAAGGAATATTAGAAGTAGAGTATAGAGTCCATATAGGAATTTAAAACTAACTAAAATTTGGAATAAACATAATAAAATTAAAAGTAGAGTTTAGAGTCCGTATAAAAATATAATTTACAAATAACTAAAATTTAAAATTAAGAAAAATATGGGAAGAAGAGTTTAAGGTCAATATAGGAATACAATTTAGAAGTACTGAAATTCGAAAAATTAAAAATTAAAAGAATATTCAAAGATGAGTTTAGAGTCCACATAGAAATAAAATTAGAAATAATAAAAATTAAGAAATAAAAATAAATAATATGAGAGTTATTGCAAAATTTAAAATTATATTATCATTTTAATATATTTTAATAATATAATGAGAAAACATATATGCTATTATATGAGAGCAAATATAATGATGCTAGCCGTGCAATCTGCGCGGACCACAATGCTAGTTACACTGTATTAGGCCTGGAAGGACTGTGAGCACATCATTTCCTACCATTTTTTCAACATTTAGCTGGCATGATGTCCTGACTGAGATTTCTGCTATTGATTGAATCGATGGGTTTCAATTATTTATGTTATCCATGTTACTAATGTCGTCTTCTCAATAAAACAGATCTATCTTGTTACAAGATTAGATGGTTGGATAACAAAACTATTCACTACAGATAGTGAGATAAGTATACATATGCTTAAGTACAGAATGTGTGGATTTTAAGCTAGCCTAATACTCCGAATAAATGTCTGATATGCTAATAGCACTATATATGTTAAATTGAAGGGTAATTATACCTTCCTTGAAAATAGTACTGGGAGATACCATATTTTCTAGCGTAAAATTTGGTATCTTCAGATATTAGGTATCTCGAGATAACAAAATTTTTAATATAAGAGCAATTTTACGGTCCTTTAGGAGGTACCATGAGGTAACATTTTTTCTAGAGCAATTTTACGGTCCTTTAGAAGGTACCATGAAGTACCATTTTTTCTATTGTAAATTTGGTACCTCATGGTACCTAGGTACAATGAGGTACCAAAATTTACAATAAAATTTTGGTACCTCATGGTACCTCCTCAAGGACCGTAGAATTGCTCTTTTTTCTATTATAAATTTGGTACCTCTTGGTATACTATGAGGTACCATGAGGTACCAAATTTAGGTTAGATATCTCAAGGTACTTTCTTAAGGACCATAAAATTTCTCTAAATTTGATAGACAACATAAATGAATTATGGATTCAGGAGGCTAGTGCTTAAGTAAATGTATACACATGTTACTCCAGTGCTCTCAGATTTATGGTATCCCTCCGAGTTACCAGAAAAAAGAACACTCCAAAATAAAAAGGATGCAGAAACCAGAGTGATGCGCCTATCTAAAAGAAGTCCTGATATCCCAACCAAATACTAAAAGATATCATCAAGGTGAAAAAAGAGAGAAGGTCATGCTTGTACACAGAAAACTGAAGATGTATAACTCTATCGGATTGGCAGATCACCTTAACTCATAGCTTATCAAAACATGCAGAGCACAACAGAGGCGAGACATGGTGATCAAGAAGGCAGAAGACCCACTTGCCTTGGTTTCCACAGGATGAACACCTTGCTTCGTCGATGGCGTCTTCAGAGGCGCAGAGGCAGCACGACATTCACCCAGGCTCAAGCACATCAACCAGCAATATGAAGATGAGTACGATGCTGAAAGAAAGCTTTTTTAGTAGCAGTGGTTGCCCACTCTGGTGCCCCAACCAACAAGTAAAAGAACCCCTCATGTTGCCAACCTGACATTATATATCTAGTTTGGATGGTGGCAGGAATCAATCAACCAATATATCATTTCGCGGATTGAATTGAATATGATCCCCGGTATGTCAAACTAGTCCTAAACCAGCAGCTCCACTGCTCGGACATATAGAAGAAGACAAAGCAAAAGGAGACGTTTACGAAAAGCACGGTGCAGGTGGAAACATAAGATACTCTCCACCACTGTCTTACATACTACTACCACATTTTTAAAATTTATGATGCCATTGACTTTTTCACAATATTTGATCATTCGTTTTATTAAAATATTAGTATAAAAATGTAAAAGTATAATTAAAGATAATATTTTATTTAATGATAAAACAAGTCACCATAAAATAAATGATATTTATATAATTTTTTGAATATGGCGAATGGTCAAACGTTATTCAGAAAGTCAACGGCATCATATATTTTTAAATACAGTGGTTGGATGCACTCCAATGAAACGAAATTTCTTTGTGCTAACTGTCGACGGGGGATACCCGTAGACCGGATATAGAAGGTATTAGGATACGCTGGTACGAGGATCTACGTAGTACGACATCAAGCAAACAGAAGATGAGGATTATACTGGTTCAGGCCCCTTGGCAGGTAATAGCCCTAATCCAGTTGGTATGGGATTATATGATGGAAACAACGGATTACAAAAGGAATAACAGAACTCGATGATACCGACGAGACCGTAGTCGAGTTGGTTCGACTAGATCACCCGGCGACTTGGCTCCTGTAGGCTTCGGCTTCGTAGGCTGTGGTGGATGTGTTGGTGGTGAGATTCGATGCCTTAGGTCCTGCCCAGGGGGTCCCTTTTATACCGCAGGTCCGTCGATCTCTAAGTAGGACTCGGAGATATCAGATCCCTCACGATATGGTAAAGACCCAGTCTTGTCCGAGTAGGACTCCTTCTACCTGTGATTCTGTTTCTATCATGTGATAGATTTCCTTAACGTATATAGGAACTTATTCGTATACGCGCGGGTATACCGTATCATTATGCAACGTATATCCAAGGGTAGAGGGTATACCTTATCCGTAACCCTGACAGTAGTCCCCGACTTCTGCTTAAATGAACTCATGTAGCCAATCGCGACTTCTGATGTCAGAATCGTTGTCGTGCTCATCTGGTCGATCTCGGTGTGAGAACCGTAGAGACAAAGAGTTATCGACAACACCGTATGAAGTTCAACGGTCATGAGTGAATTTAAATTGAAGTCTGAAAACTGTCGCGTGTAACGGACCCAGAATATTCTGGCGGCAATCTCTCTCCTTTCCTTGGAACACGTACCATCGGTTAGTGCGCTTATTTAAAGGGATTTTGGGAACCCATTTGAAGTCCGTCCGCTAGAAAGCCATTCTGCATCCCAGCGCCCTTCATCTTCTCCGCTCCCACAGATAAAAACCCTAATTTACTTCTCTCACTTTGCTCTTCAGCAATCCTCCGGCAGCGATGGATCTTGACAAGTCCACCTCCACCACCGCGTCCCTGAAGAAGTTGCAGGACGACGGCGCCCTCCCTGGTCGCGCGACCATGCAGAGGGAGATAGGAGGTACTGAACCCAAACCCATCTTGGACCGTATGGTTGCGGTCGAAGATTACATTTCTTGCGGTTTTCTTCCTCCGTCTTCCGAATTTCTTCTTCTTGTCTTGAACTTCTACGGCCTTTCTTTGCTTCACCTGAACCCCAATTCCATTGCATTCCTTAGCATTTTCTCCTATCTTTGCGAGGCCTATATTGGGGTAGAGCCATTCCTTGATCTCTTCTGTTTTTACTACGAGTTGCGCTGGATGGAACCCAATAGGGTATCCGGATGTGTCGGATTCCGACTGTGGGATGGCCTGAAGTCGCGCTACATCCCCTTTCCAGTGCCCCTCTTCTCGCAGGAAATGGCAGGTGAGGTGGTTCTATCTTCAGATAGAGAACTTGGATCCTATCCTTGTTGTCCCTGAAGAACAACTGGACAAGATCCCGGAGTGGACCGCCAAACCAGCCCTGACTCCCTCCCTCCAGTATTTCATCGACATCATCGATGACCTCCGAATACGGGGGTTGTCGGGGTACGAAGTCGCTGCCGACTTCGTAGGTAGGCGGATCCAACCGCTCCAGGCCCGCGCCCATCTGGCCTTTGATTACACGGGGACAGAGGACACGACCCGGGTCTCTCCTCGGGGTATTTTTCCTTGTATTTCAGATTTCGTTTTGGGTGTGCCTGTTTCTCCTGACTTACCGAGCTTCTGTTCTCGATCTATAGGTCTGGACGGCGACACTGTGGGCCGCCGCGTTGGCCAGGTGATGATCAGCGCTCCCTCGACGGCGAGCGACATCCCTGTCCCACTCTGCGAGAAGGGCCTGGCTGAACGCGAGGCTACGATCAACGTGAGTGTACTCGATGACTCCTCTACATCTTATGCTGGTGATTTCATGCACGCGTTGTGATTTCATGTTATGTAGGCTCTTGTCACACCCCGAAGTTTTCCTCCCAAGCCAAAATTGTAATTTTTATAAATGGCCCTAAGAAAATGCAGGTGAAATCAGAAGAAAACCCTAAGAAAGTGATGCAAATAATAATCGGATTTGACATGTGGAATTTTTCTTGAGTTCTACATGTCGAAATTCATTAACAGGATTTTTAGTGGAATTTTCAGAGCTCTAGAAATAATTTTAACCAATTAAAATTGAGCAAGCAATATTTTAATTCCAGGGAAAATCCTTTTTCTTTTTTTTCTTTTTCTTTTCCCTCCCTTTTTCCTCCTTTTTCCGAATGGGCCGCCGGCCCATTCCCTCCTTCCTCCCCCTCCTCCTTGCTGGGCCGGCCGCAGGCCGAGGCCCAGCCAGGACGCCCGCCGCCCTCCTCTCCGGGGTCGCCGACAGGTGGGGCCCACCTGTCGGGCCCGTCTCCCTCCTCCCGCCGATCCCGCTCGCGCCGCCGCCGCCGCAACCGTCGCCGCGCCCACGTCTCCGCCTCCCCCGGGCCACGTCGACCACGCCCGCGCGTGCGCCGCGTCTCCCGCGCCCACTCCCCTCTCTCTCCCGCTCGCGCCCGCGCCCGAGATGGCCGGGATTCGAAAATCGAATCCCGCCTCTCTCTCTTCCCCACTCCCTCACGTCCGCCGGCGATTCCCGCCTCTCCCGGCCACGTCCGGTTCCCTCTCCCCCCTATTTAAGCATCGCCGTCGCTCCCTCTCGCTTTTTCCCCATTTCGCCGCACTCTCTGGAGCCACCCATCGCTCCCGCGCCGTGCAACCCTTTGCCGCCGCCATTTTCGCTGCTCCGGCCGCCGCTAGCCGCCGCTAGGCTCGCCGCCGCACCGCGCCGTCGCCGCCGTCGGGTTCGCGTGGCCGAGATCCACCCCGTCCACCCCTCCTCCGTCGAGGTTCGTCGCCGGAGCCCTCGTTCCCTCGCACTCGGGTGAGCACCACCTCCACCGCCGCGTTCGGCCATGGTTTCCGGTCGCCGTGGTCCATCTCCCTCTCTCTAATCCCTCTCTTCTCCTTCCTTAGGGCACCCCGAAGCTCGTCCGCCCGCCGACGTCGTCCTCCCGTGGCTTGCCGTCGCCGTTCATCGTCATCTTCCTCCGCGCCGGCCACCCTCGGTGAGGCGCCCTCTCCCTTCTATTCCCCTCCCTCTCCCTCCTAGCCGCCGCTTTAGCGCCGCCGCCCGCTAGTCGTCGCTTTAGCCTCACCGCCCTTCGGCGCCGCCTTGCGCTGCCGTCTCCGCCGGCGGTTGCCGTCGTCGGCAACGCGCGTGCGCGTGCGCGCGCCGTCGCCGTGACCGGTCGGCCGGCTTTGTGCCGAGCCGAGCCTAGCCTGGCCGCCGCCGCACCGTCCGATCGGTTCCGGGCCGATCCGGGCCGTCGATCCCGTGGACCGGCGGTGGATCACCCGCGTGGACCCGATCCACGGTAGACTGGCCATCCGTGCGCCGCTGACATGCGGGCCCCGCATGTCGGCGCCGCATCCCCTCCGTGCTGACGTCAGCCCTGGTTAATATTGCGCAATAAATTATTTAAGGATTTTTGTTATAGTAATAAACACAGTGAATCTTCTAAAATTCATAACTAATTCATCCGAGCTCCGTTTAAGCCCATTCAAGTCTCAGTAAATCAAGAAAAATGTGTAGAATCCATTAAAAATGGTTTTGTTCCCTGTTTCAGTAGTCTTATAGCTTGTTTGCAATGTTTGCTTTGTATGTCGCTAGATTCCGATTCCTCCGACGCTCCGGTGTACTTCGAGATAGTCGCCGAGGTTCCTCCAGCAGCAGAGCAAGGCAAGTCATGCTTGTCACTTGAACATGTTGATCCTAAATTGCAAATGCTCTATTGTTTTCTTTCAAATACTGCATTGTTTTATAATATTACTATGGGATGGTTACCTTTTGTTACAGCCATGTTCTTTTGGATATCATGCTCCTTTGTTAGCTTGGGGTTATAACATGATTAGAGTTTGGACTAGAAATTGCTTAGCCATGCTTAGTTCAACTAGTTCACAATGGGGAAAATCATATTAATGTTTAGACTGTTGGTTCTAAGGGTAATGTTGGATTAGTACCACCGCTCTGGTGTTGGTTAAATAAAATGAATCACATGGTGGGCTGTGGGTGCATGGTTTTGCTGGTCGCGCCCATGGCAGTTAAGGACCGGTTCGCGGGATGCCCTGGAAGAACTTATCGTACTTACCACAAGCCAGCGTGGGCAACGGCTGGGCTTGTAGTGTAGCTTTCCTCTAGTCGACGCATCCAGGTAAGGGTGGGCGTGATGGAGCGGGGCGGGCCCTGCGACGGCCTCTGTCGCTTCCGGATTCACCTAGGCACGAGAGGGGACTGCCCGTTGCCCGCTGGGGACGGGGGTGAAACCTGAGGTGTGGTGTGCTTGGCTAGAGGGGGTTATGCGAAGGGTCCTGTCACGGCCTCTTTCCGGTATGTCGTGGTGACATGTCGGCGCACG